ATTGAACAGAATGTGCATAGCCTTCTGAACTGGCATTTCCATTTCCGTTTCCGTTAGAAGATGCACTTTCATTCCCAAGACATCTCTCGTGATATGAATGTTTGCAAATGAAGTGAACGGTGGGAAAATCCAGCTTCAGACCGCAAGAGTTGCACTTGGTGTTCTGGACGGTTGTTGGTTCCGTGATCAGCCTGTTGATCTCTAGTTTTGCCCTTGCAGTCTCCTCTCTGTAGGATTGTGCTAGTTTCTCGTTGTTCTGTATTTCTTGTCTTTGCGAGTTAACATATTGGAGAAGGTAGTTTTTGATGAGACCGATCGTGGCAGCAGAGTTCATGCTCAGAGTCTGAACGACATCCAATGGAGTCATCAGCTTCAATTGCATGATCTTATCCAGCACTTCCTGGAACTTCTTTTCACCAATTGCTTCGAAAATGTGCTTTTCCGAGACAATGTAAGACAGTGCCAGTCTATACAGCTCGGGATCACTCTCACCATACTTCGCCAATACTGCTAGAGAGCCATTGATATCGCCAGAGGCCATTCTTGATCTGAAAAGATCCACCTCGAAACCTGGTTCGTCTCTGGCTATGATCTCTCCTTCGTTGAAGCTGTGAAGATTAGAGAGAAGAAGAATTGATGTTGGATCCACAGAGTTTTTTTCCCTTTCTCCCAAATCCTTAGCTTTCTTTTCCCATTGCGCCTTTTCCACATCTTCACTCTCCGCAGAGTTGGCCAACGTGAGATACATCTCGAAAAGTGTGGTCAATATGTCTTTTTTATCACCTTCGTTACCACCAAGAGCATCGTACTTCTCGACACACGCCTCCAGAAATATCACAAACTCGTTGGGATGTTTCACGAAAGATGGAAATATGATCCTGGGACGTGGCGGCAGGTAAGTTGGCTTGACAGTCTCCACCGTTCGGATTACAGATTCGTTATCACCGCCCAAACTGCCCATGTAGGAGACAAATGCTCTATAACTCTGAAGGACTGGGTACTCTCCATTTTCAGGCTCATTAGGATGAGGAACAGTATCCTTAGTATCACCCTCAGTGGAACTGAGGAGAGCGAGCTCACCTGTGTCAAAACCAGAGGATGGCTTAGGGATGTACTGACCAGTGAAAACGTTTATCAACAATGCAGTTGTCTGGTTGGACTCTTTATCCAACAGTTCACTCACATTATCAACTAGAACTCTGAGTAGTTCTTCTATAGATAGCGTCTTCATGTATGCTAGAGCCGCTTGAGCATCTCCCAGATCTCTCAGCTGTATGTCAACCACAATCGAAGCCTCACCAAACTTCTTGGCAATTATCGCGGCTAATTGGAGGTATCCGCTCTCTCTGCATAGACTCAGAACGGTATCAAGGTCGAATTCGTAGTTCGGAGAGGTGACTTCACCATCTATGATTTCGATCTCGCGAATGAAGTTGATGATTTCATCAATCTTCTTAAGTTTGCAATAGCAACACAAAAGCAGTGTCACATGATCCTTCCCAGCATACTTTTCTTCAACCATCTTCTCTAAATATCGAATCAAGCCTGGGATTTTGGATCCATCTTTATACTTTTGGATGATCTCACTGGTTTTCCCAAGAGAAAAACACTGAATATACTGCTCTATAGCCTCCATAGACTCATCTTTCTCGTAAAGGTAGTCACCAAACTTTTTCTTAATTTGTAGCACCAACTTGTCGTCAAGACCAAGCTTCTCTTCAGGATCTGCATTTTCAGCCAGTCGTATGGCTATTGAAAAAAGATCTTTTTGGACAAGAATATTCAGCTTCTCAGAAAGAGCTTTCTCATGGAACTTGTATAACATTCCATCAGTGCCTATCGCCCATAAATCACCCCACATATCGAAGACCTGGTCGACAGAACTTGTGACTGTCTGGCTAAAAGAGATGAAGCGGTTGACTATATCAACAATTACTATCTTCGTAGTGTGATATTGAGACCCATTTGATGAAGCAAGCAGATTGGAATGCATGGGAGACACAAACACAATATACTTCGAGGTGAGTGCATGCATTGATTTCTTCGGCAAGTCTAATAGAATGCTATAGGTAGCACCCTTGGACGAATAGAAGGTCAAAGCATCGTCTCGGCCTGCCAAAAGATGCCGTTTATTATCTTTGGAAAGAGCAGTACATCCCATGTCAACGCCCACGTTCTTCTCCAGAATTCGATCAGGCTTCCCATTATTGGCACCGGTAGTCGGTATCGTCAACACCTTTAGTGTCGTAGTGATATAAAGAAGTGATTCGTCACGGAATATCACACCAGTCACAGGATCTTTGCTCTCGTACACAACCCTCTGTCTGGACCCTCTGTCGTTCACCAGATCGCCTCTAACCAAGATAGCAGCACCGTTCCCAAACCCAAATGCCAGCACCGAGAAGTCTTTGACGCAATCGAATGCGGTCATGGGATAATTATTGGGCCCATTGTTCACCTGACATGATGTGTGAAATTTGAATTCGATCTCTTCTTTTGGGTTCTTTTGTACTATCTTTCTGATCTTGTTCAGACTCCATAGTTTTAATGTGAGAGGTTGACCTTGTTTCTCTGCAATTGTGCACAGCAAGCCATATGACTCAATGTATTTCAGTTTCACAACACTCCACCCAAGTTCATAAGCAGTGAACTCAAAATCCAACTGGAAGCTCTTATCGATAACTTTTATCAGTGTATTCGACACAGCGATGATGAATCTGTCCTGTGAAGAGCACACAGCCGATAAGGTGGAGTCCGAGTACAAAGGCGAGTCTGATCCAAACAATGGATCCCGAACCGGTGTACAATCAAAGAACGGGAAATTTCTCCAGGACGAAAGCGACATTTTCCGCTAAAAAATTGGACTTTAACGCCAATGGCTTGTTAGGTTAAAATGATAGAATCTAGATATGGTCCTCAGATAGACATGGCTTACTCACCCGTGCTGAGGTGGCAGTTTCCCCAGACACCCAACAGATATGAAACCAACATAATGCTAACTCTGTTTGTAACGGTTCTGGCTCAAGGTGGAGCAGCAAGAGTGTAGGATGGTATATATCAGCTGAAAATACTGACATGAACATGATCCTCGGAGCGATGGAAGGAAGAGTGCAAAATGGCTGAAGAAGAGCTGCCCAACCTCACACCTTCGTCTTCGGTTTACTCTGAACGCTCGGAAGAGCTGGTAGCAGCACAAGCGCGGTTTGTTCCCCAGGGAATCAACCCTTACTCTGAGTCTTTGTGGCTGTTTTCGAGAGGGGACAACGGTTCGGAAATAAAGGCTCTACAAAGAGATAGCTCTGTGCGCTTTGTGGAACCCCACGAGACTGCGATTGTCAAACCAGATGCAATTTCCCGTAATAGAAGACAAGCAACCAGGAAACCATTGGATGATAGCATCCAAAATCTTGTTTTATGTGAAAGACAGTACTGCAATTATCTGAGGTACTGTGTTGAGGCACAGGCCGAGTTTGCTCGGAATCTCGATACTAGGCATAAAATCATGCTTTATGGAACATTGTCAATTCTGAGCGAATTGAGCGAGAACTTTTTGGGCTATTTGATTGAAGCCCTCAATGAAACGGCCGGGGTAGAGTTTCTTGCTCCAGAAAAGCCAACTTCAACTTCTCTCCCATCGGAAGCGAACCTCATACAGATTGTTCATGCAGCTAACTATGAGAATCTCAAACTGGGTACAATCTTCAGTTTCTACAGTTCTCGTCTCCAATCAGCTTTGGGTTCATATCTATCATCGCAGCATCAAAGACTAGAAATTGCAAGAGATATCCACAGTCTTCATTCTCAGCACCTAGAGGAAGAGTTCAAATCCTTGCAAGACTTTGAGAGGGTGTTCAATCGACCTGTGAGCCGCATCAACGAACTCAACTGTGAAGTCGCTGAAATTTTGGAGAAGAGCAAGATGTTACTTTGCAAAAATGAGCAGATTTTATTACGATCATGCAAGGATCAACTTGCAAAGATCATCAAAGAGCCTCCCCTACCACCAAGGCCGAAGATAGAGAGCTTGCCTTTAAACCACGACTCATCGAACGCAAAGGACTATATGTTGATAGCTTTCCAGCTGAAACACAAGTCTTCGAGTTTAAGACAATTGGAGAGAGATGTATCTTATTCAGCTCAAGCCTTTGGCGATCTCGTGAGCTTCATAGTGGAGGCTGCTTACGACTATAAGATGAACACCCAAGACGCTACTGCCGTCATACAGTTTGGTCCTTCCTCCGCATCCCATCCGTACGTACTCTCTCCCTACGACGTTTACCTGAACAAGGTAACCGAGCAACAGAAAGCCTTCAGGGAGTTGAAACCCAAGTTTTTGGCGATTGCAAAACACCTGAAAAGTTTGGCAGATTGGTGTGATAATCTATGGCTACAGGTTAACCGAACGTCTGACTCTTTGAGGAAACAGGGTGTGCTGAAAAGAATTCTCTCCAAGCATCCCGAGCCCCAAATCTCCCGACGAGACAGCTCGTTCATTAATCAACTGAGCGAGGCTCACCAACTGCTGAACCTGGCTGTTGAAAAAATATTTCACCTCTACTACAATGCCTCACTAGAGTTTCTCAGATTGATCTCGGGCGAACCCACCATAATACGCAACTGGAACACAATTGTCGAGTCCTACACCAACACCGTTGCGCACAACAGACAGGCGCTAATATACCAGGACAAAAACATCGAAAACTCGCCACTGTTCAAGAAACTATACTCTTAGCCGAAACTTCGTCTAAGCACTAATTCCCGAAAAGTGGAGTGGGGTCGTGTACCTAACCAAAAAACCCCTGGAATCGCCAATTGCCGAATTCCATACGTTTCAACCTCTGCGATTCTGGACTTGTGCAAACTTTGTTCCCCAATTGCTTTCAAACAAACTTCAGTTCTGAACCTTCAATTGGATCAAAACAAGTCTGCAAAGCACCTTTCTGATATTCTCTATTAAGTCTTCAACATGTCTGAGAAAGCTTGCTGCGGTGGCAACTGTGTTTCTAAGTCTAGCACCAGTTTGCTCACATGGTCTGACCCTGCCAAATCGGCCAAGGTGTTCGGTGGCATTGTCTTGACTTTGCTCACTTTGAAATATATCAACATCCTGAACATCGTGTTTCGTCTGGGATTCTTTGTTTTGATTAGTAAGTTGTTTTCGTTGCGTGTTGATGATCACCTGTTGTTCCGCCACAGCTTGCGGTCATATTGGTCACATGTGACTTGTTAGTATTGGCCATTCGGAACTCAAAAATCGTCAACAATCGCCTCCTGCTCATATCCATTGAACACGTCACTAACTTTTTCTTTTTAGCCTCTGCTCTCGCGGAATACGCCGGAAAACTTGCACTTGGTGAAGGTCTCGTGACTCGTTTCAAGCCACAGTACACTGCCTATGCTTCCAAGTATGGCGACAAGATCGCCGAGCACACCGTCTCGTTCCTCAAATCCTTCGAGCAGTCTGCCCAGGAGACTGTCTACTCGAAGGACATTGAGGCCACCCTGAAGACTGCCGGTGGTCTGTACATCCTGTACCTGCTCACATCATGGTTCTCCCTCTGGACGCTGTTGTTTACCTCAGTTGTTCTTGCCTTCTCCGTTCCAGGTGTCTACCTCAAGTACCAAACTGAGATCGATGCTAAGGTTGCTGAGCTTTCCAAGACTGCCAAGAGCAAGGCCGTTGAATTGCAAAAGACTGCTTCCGAGAAGTCCGGCCCTCTCTTGAAGAAGGCTGAGGCCAAGCTGGGTCCTGTTGGAGCTTTCATCAAGTCCAAGGTTCCAGTGAGAACTGCCTCCTCGACTGTTGGATCCGAGCCAGTTGTCGGCGCCGAAAAAGTCAAGTTGCCAACCGTCCCATCATCTACCCCAGTTTCTGTTCCAGAAGACGTCACAACCCCTCTGGCAGCCAAGATTGACGAGACTGTCAAGTCTGCCGATGCCCAGTTTGCCAAGGAGACCGAGCCATTGTTGTAAACAGGCTCAGTAGTGAATGGCCAATGCCACGGGTGTCCGATGGGTGGAGTTGAGTACATGTGATTTCAGTACCCGGTCGACAAATCAAGAGGACCAGATTGTCAGACAGTTTGGTTCGCCGTGATTTGCCAATCTGGTAGACCAGATGGTGACCTAAGTTTGCCTATCTATTTTGCTCTGAGTTTTACTTCTGCGACAACAGCTGTTGTATAATTCCCTCTCTGATTTGTTTTTGTATACGTTCGGCGGCAATATAAGATTAGTTTCAAACTTTATGTGTAAGGCTCCGGCTGAAAAATTTGCTAGATGGCTTGCCTACTCTAGATCGTACTACCGAGCTCGGAGAAACAAACGAAGCCTTTTTTGCTTTGCTTTTCATTTTCCTCGTCTTCTATTAAACAATGACACAACATCCACCAGACTCCTTGGGAGCAGCAGGAGTGGTAGTAGCGGTCTTTTGGCTAACACCTGGCCTGGTAGTACTCGTCTGTTGCTCAGTAGCTGCAGCTGGAGCGGATGTAGAGGCCTTTTTAGATACCTTGGCATTGGCAGAGGCCTTGGCAGCGTTGGCAATATCTTCTTCCGAAGGTTCAAGAACATTGGTCAGGTTTGCAGAGAGTAAACTGCCTGCGCTAATAATTTTGACCAGGCCGTAGAAGGCGTCGGAGACGTTGACGTTGGTCTTCGCAGAAGACTCGATGTAAGCTGCACCAAATCTTTTGGCAAGGGCTATTCCTTCGCTAGAGCTCACTTCTCTCTCACTCTGCAAATCACTCTTGTTACCAACGAGCATCAAGGGAACAAACGATGAGCTCTCCCCTTTTACTCTCACGATTTGGTTGTAGAAACCGGTGATCTCCTCGAAGGTCTTGCGATCGGTCAAGCTGAATACTAGGACGAAACCCTCTCCACTGCTCATATACAGGTCTCTCATCGAAGAGTATTCCTCCTGACCTGCGGTATCCAGGATATCGAGCGAAGACGAGACCCCGTCTATCTCACAGTAGTGTTTGTAGGAGTCTTCTATGGTTGGGTCATAGTCAGTTGCGAACTCAGACTGCGTCAGACGGATGGTGAGGGCAGATTTTCCAACCACCGGTGGTCCAACCACCACGACGCGATAATCGCGAGTCTGTAAAAAAAATTCTGTTAGTGTCGATATAATTCACTTCATTCACACTTTCCGTCAAATAAACCAAGTTTGGCAGGGCAAAACCGAGCCCTAGACAAATTTCACTTCGGTCCCTCAGAGGAAAGCAACAGTATTTAACATACCACTCCATTTTGAGACATTGTTCAAAGATCAAAATTTATAACCGAGATAGCTTCTTCCAGCAGCCTAATTGACCTATAAACCAGAAAAATGCAGCGAATTCAGCGACTTTGAAAAATCTGAATGGATTGTTTATCTGGTGAAGGGGCTCGGATGAGATGGCTTGAAACTTCGTCCTCAGAACTGCAGCAGGATTTGCGTACACTACCAAGACGAAGTCGTTTTAGGGTCCAAAATTAGAGTCTGACCAGAAATTGCTTACAAACCAGGCGAATTCTGGCTAGTTACAGAGAAGAAAAAGGCTGACCAATCATGCAACAGTTCATTGCGGATCCAATTATATTCGAGCAGTCTGGGCCCGTTCTCCGCACACAATAGTCATATTAGCACAGCCTGCTGCAGAACACAAGGCTGTGCGGTCGTGTTCAATATCAATAGTGGCCATAGGATTAGCAGCCATTATTCATCATTTTGAGCCATTTTTGGTCGTTTCGGAAGCGTTTCATAATTGTCTTATATACTAAAATTTACAAAATAATACCGGAAGACCCATCTGTTGCAGGCCAAAGGCCGCAAGTTCCCTTGTTATTAATTAGACGGCCTTCTGAAGTCTTTTGATTGCTTTGCTGTAGCCTTGCGAAGCCGCACGATTGTACCATCTCAAAGCCTGTTCCATAGACTTTATCGTTCCTAGTCCATTCTCGTAGTAAGTTCCCAGTAAGAATTCAGCATTTGCACACCCTGCTTCTGCTCCCTTACGCACCCAAAGGAAACCCTGTTCTGGATCGCTGTTCAAGATTCCTGGAACACCATCAGTGTACCATATTCCAAGTCCCATGGAGGCCAAAGGGTGATTCTTCTCAGCAGCTTTAGAGTACCAGTAAATCGACTTCCTTGCGTCGGGTGATTCTATCTGCGATCCGTTGGAAGCAGCCTTATCCGGTCTGAAACTGTGAGTAGGCAAATATCCGGTTGCAAAAACGTATCCGAGACATGCCTGAGAGTCTTTGTGGCCAAGCCTGGCAGCCTCCAGATAATACTCCATCGCCTTGATCTGGTTTCTAAATGCGTTTGCCCTTTTCAAATCGTCAATAGTGTCCAGGACATTGGGGGTGTTGGTATTCAAACAAAGAACATCCAAATCAGTATGATATATTTTGGCCAACGTGTATAGAGCTCCGCGGGCATCACTGAATGATCTAGCAGTGATCAGGACATCTTCGCTCATCAACGATGTCTTAGAAAGAGTCCGAGCAGCTTGGATATGCCAATAGATGGATTTCTCCACATCACGTGGACGTCCGTATTGGCCTGTAAACTCCAAAATTCCCAATTGGCACATGGCAGATGGATCTCCGTGCTCGGAGGCTTTGTTGAAGAACTCCAAGGCCCTTCCCACGGATTTCTGAGTTCCGACACCAATTTCAAGACAACAACCTACACGGTACATTGCAACTGGATCGCTGTCATTGATGGCTGCTTCGTAAAACATGGAATAACCTTTCACTTCATCACGTTCCACAAGACCTGGGTGGATACCTCCAGATAGAAGATCTCCAAGATACAGCTTAGCCCTAGTCTCTCCGTTATCCACGGCGACTACCTTCTTCAAAACCTTGACTGCGGTAGAACAGAACTGTTCTTTGATCGTTTGAAGATCTTTCTCAGAAGCAGGTCTCTTGCGAATGGACCCATCAATAGCCATCTTCAACATCATATCGCGAGAAGAGATAGCCTCCAGCAAGGTTCTTGCCCAGTCAAACTGTATCTTGGGTGTGAAAAATTTGTAGTCCTGGATAGCGCTGTTTCTCGCGCCCTTGAAATCCAATACCATTCTATCAAAGCTTCTCTTGGGCACCACAGATGGAATGACCCCACCATATTCTGTTCCCTTCAAACCCGAAGTGCTTCCAGTTCTAATAGAAGGCTCATCTGGCGACGAGGTCTTCGTAAAACTGGGCCTGACATCTCTGTCCCTTGGGAGACTGTCCTCGCTTCTGTTGAAGGAAGTCACAGGAGTCACCTTGGGCAAAGTTTGCTGGCGAGGAGCAGGTGACCTCGCAGGCAGGTTCTTGAAATCTGTAGGGAGTTCGGGTAATGGAACAGTTCTTGAAGAGACAAACGTATCACCGTTGTTGGAGGACGAGGATGTGTTACGCCCACCAAAATTCAACCCATCTTCGTCGTTTTTTGGTGTGACCATTTCATTCTCTGGAAATCGTCTCCTAACGCGTCTGCTCGGATTGGATTGTGTCGAAGCAACCAGTTCTTCGTTGAGAGTGTCGGAAGATGACGCTGAGTTCCGCATCGCCTCGTTGATAGGCTCAATGGTAGTGGGCTCGGTCCTCCGAATAGACTTGAACCCAGCCTTATCAAAATTTGAACGATAGATAGAACGCGAATACTGCAATCCATTGCTGTTAGCAGACTCTTCAGCAGATTCGTCTCCAGAATACTGGGTCACGGCTTTCTTTGTTGCTTCAGACCCGGAATTTTGTAATTCTGTGGGAAACGTGCTGGACATGTCGGCATCGCTTACATCTCTGTTTGGCCACTGGTTAAGCTGAGGCGAGACAGAGGGAGACGACGATTGCTTCAATTGCAGTTCCAACTTCTGAATTTTCTCCTCTAGTAAGTGGATTCTGCTCGAGTCCATCTCGCCGGAAATCGCACTGGATCCAGAGAGGTATCTTTCGGGTCGAGGGGCAGACGACTGGAGACTCGGAGGTTGTAAGTTCTGGGGAGGAGCTCTGGTCTGTGGCTGATACTGCTGTGGAGGAATCTGCTGATGCTGGGGATACTGTGGATGTTGATGATATTGTTGTTGAGGGGGATATTGCTGAGGTAGCTGCTGAGGGGGATATTGATGAGTCTGTTGTCTAGGAGCATAATTCTGAGCTGGTTGTTGGTATCCAGCCTGGTATTGGGGTCTCATTTTCTGTGGTGGATATTGCTTCCCAAACGCGGGTTGTTGTTGTTGTTGATGTTGTAATGGCTGTGTTGGCTGGTGGTGCTGTGGATATTGACTCTCATTCATATTCTGCGTATATTCAACTGGCTGCTGCTGCTGCCGAGGAGCAGGATTGCGAGGATACGCCCCGCCCTGAGGATGGAATGAAACTGGCGGATAACCACTTCTTTGTGACGTTCCAGGCCCATTGTTCAACCCTGACGCGGGTTGGTGATGGGGTATGGCCGCGTTATACATTGCTCAATAAACACGTCAAAATAAGATAGAATAGTTTAGCAAATAATGGCAAAAAACAAGGATCGTTGCCAAGAAGAGTTGCAGCCTAAATATACACGGTGGGAACTTGGCTTTCTGGGATAAGTTTGGGGAATAGCCAAATGCAATCGAAGAGGCACAGTCCGTTTCCGCGACTGACCCAATCGAGACATTTAACCTACGCACTACCTTGGGAGTTACACGACCATCACAATCTCCTTTGCCAACATCAAAGGGGACTAGGAAGATTGCGTAACCTCTTATCATACTTCTGCCCTCCATTGTAACGGTATGACCACTTACGAGAACTTGCCTCCGCGTCAGAAATCGCAGAGACTTTTGGCAAAAGCCAAGGCAAGGACCCAAGAATCACAAACACTGGAGAACATGGTGACGATATCCAATCCTGTGATGACTGATCTGTATCCAGGTCTCAACGACATCACGGATGCGTTCGAAGCCTTTCCTATGGAGCTAGTGAGATATTTCACTCTTATTAAGGAGATCGATGCCAAATGTGTGAATACGGTGCCGTATTTGAAGGCATACATCACAAAGTTTCTGGTTATGGAGAAGGCTCATCCAAAGAGAGAGAGGCTTTTGACTTTAATCCGGGATTTAATCAAGGAGCTGATGCCTTGTATGGAGGAGAAAATGCAGGTGGCAACTTTAGCTGCTGATACAGTGAGAAAGCATCTGAATCGCATAGATGACGATTTCGTACTGATTGAGCGAGATGAAATTCCAGCAAACATCAGAATCGGTCCCTTGGACCACCCCGCCATCTTGTCGGATTCTAAGCTTGCGGACCCGGCTAAGTCTGCCCAGGCCCAGAGGAGTGAGCTGAGAAGGGAGACTTTGGCTGCGAAAAAAGCCAATCAGACTGGTGATGACGAGGAATCAGCTGGAACTTCCACACCAGCTCCAACTTCTTCGAGGAAGACTGTCAAAACAACAGCGAGAACCGCTGGAAAAGAGCCAGTGTTCCAGACTACACCAACAATCGTCGCTCCGGTTCCAAACGCGGTGTCCGGCAAGAAACGAAAGACTGCTGCTACCAATACCCACAACGGTTCGAACAACCATAGTTCTACGGGGGACGGAAACAGCCGGTTTACTGAGCCACCGGAGTTGGAGGAATCCAGACCTTTGTCTCCACCAAATGCTAAGAGAAGACAAACTAGCAAGAAGAAGGGAGTTAATGGCCCTGGTGCCCTTGAGCGCGACGAGGACGGTTTGGATGCCGAGGATGCTGGACCAAGCACTCCATCGCATGAGCCGGTTTATTGCTACTGTCAGCAGGTTTCTTATGGTGAAATGGTGGCTTGTGATGGCAGTGGCTGCGTGATTGAATGGTTCCACTTGCCTTGCACTGGACTGAATGCTCCGCCCAAGGGCAAGTGGTATTGCAATGATTGCAAGGCGAAGATGAAGAAGCGTTAAAGGTGACACCGCTTCTGATTACGTAAATGAGAATAAACGAAACCGCGAATTACAGATTTTTAGATCCAGCTTACATGCACTGCTTCGTGTGACTCAAAGAGTCGTGTGCTGCCTCTCCACGTGGAGCGGCTAACACATTCCGAGGGCAATCCGAGGCTAATTTGTCAGGATCTCCACGAGCCGCCCACTCACAACCGCCCGGAAAAGCCTATGCCGAGGATTTTGCAGTATTTCGGCGTGCTCTCGCTGAGTTCGGGAGAGCATCCATCCAAGTGACTCGCTACGGAGGCTATACACAGCCCTTGGAGGCTATCCATCGTTTGTTAGCAAATATTTGGAATCGAGATATAGCTGGAGGTCACTGTTAATATTTTCACAGGCCAATTGAGTTTTCGAGACTCCCGCGTTCTGTAGAAATGCCTACTCGAAACCCCCAATTGTCAAGTACCCCGGTAAGCCGGTAATTACCGGAAAGCCCTCGGGGGCCCGGCTTCAAGCAAAAAAAAAGGGCTTCGGTGATTGTCTCACCCGAGTCGGTGAAAACACACGGAAGTACCCTTCAAAGCCATTAGCCATCCATTTGGTTCAATTCAAAAAGGCTGACAAGGCTTTCAGCAGGTCTCAGTTTGGTAATCTCAATTGCTAAAGCAATTTAGCGATTCCCGAAACAATTAGACCCTCAGCAGCACGGATTATGGTTTCGCAGATAATGGCGCCATGGACGCCGTCGTTCGCCTCCCTCATGTCCAGCCAACAGGCAACAGGATTGCCCGCAACATTTTCGTTTTCTAACGTTGGAGCTGATAATTTGCCTCATGTTCGTACGTGCGTTTTCCGTGGGTTCCTGTTCGATGACAAGAAAACCAATGTGCTCACGTTCACCACGGATAGACGCATGATGAAGCTGAAGGACCTGGAGAAAAACAGTGTGTTTGAGGCTTGTTTCTACTTTCCTAGTGCGAGAAAACAGTTCCGTTTTAGCGGTGTGGTGCGGATTATCACGTGCGACCATTCTCCCGAAGTGTCTTTCGACAGTGCGAGTATATCGGACGGGTCCATCTCGTCAACGTCTCCATCAGCGGCGTCTTCTGAGTCTGTTTCGTCAAGTTCCGGTTTTGCAGAGGCCGAAATTCCTATAGTGGAGCTTGACAGAGATTTCTACGCTGACAACCTGAAGGATTCGGGTATCTACAACGAGCTGACATACCATCTGGTATCACCTACCCAGGCCAAAAACATCGAGAGCATTTCTGATTTTTCGCAGCAACCACCAACACTGGCGCCTCCAACCAAAGCCGAGTGGCAGAATGAGAGGCTGAGAATATGGAAGGGGCTCTCAAGAACCATGAGAGGAACTTTCAGACAACCCACTCCGGGGTCGAGACTCACGCCTGAGAGACAGAAACTGATTGACTCTATAAGCCGCGGTGTTGATGGCGGATCGCAAGAGCAGGATAATTTTGTCGTTGTGTGTATGTTCGTGAACACTGTTGATACTGTTGATATGGGTGTTGGTCCTGGAAGAAGAGTGCTGTACAAGAGAGATAGAGTTGATCACTGGAAAGAGTTTGAGGTGTGTCCATAAGACAACAGATTTGCATTTTGTTCCTTTTCTGCCGTGACTAATGATATATGACTGTTCGACTCCCAGTGCCCTTCGCATTGTTTATTTCGATTGCTCCAAGTTATGCTTTATGCTTTATGTTGATATAGATGCTGACCTCAAGTAGTGCTAATCATAGCGTTGCACGCACAAGCCGTGGACGTGGAGAAGTAGATAGACTGGTTTGTTGGTGAAGAACTTTCATTTCCTTTCAGGCCTCCTCGAACCAAGCATTTGAGCATATATTGTCCCCCATTGTTAATCGCACTGATGTCTCCGCCGTTTTATGCTGCGCTCGAGTCGTGTTGTAATTACCCGAATAGGCAGATGCGCCCCATATGCGCCGAGATGCCGCCCAGCTGGGAGAAAGAGCAGAGAGAGAGGAATATAGAGAAATCAAGTGAAATATATGGAGGAATATAAGATGGATTTTGGTGAAAAAAGCGTCAAAAAACTCAAAATCCCTTGAAAATACTCACAAAATGTCTCATCCTTGCCCCTTCTTGGAACCCTCAATCTGCCGAAAAATGTCCAGATGCCTTGCTGGATTGGGAAGTCGAGCTGCATGTTATCGGTTGCCAAATCAGACCGAAGTTTCCCGCGCGCAAATCAGTAAAGCACACTATTTAACGCGGGGACTTTCCTCTCTGTAGAAAAAAGATCTATTCTGTTCTCATCATCAATCTGAGTGGGTTCTTTTGTTTCTTCAAAATGTCTGTTCCAGAAGTCACCCCTGCAGAAGTGTACTACCCCAACGAGCCTGCTGCCCCTTCCGTGCAAACGGCTGAAATCCCGGGCCCAAAGACCAAGAAAGCGCTCGAAGAGCTGGCTGAGGTATTTGATGCCAGATGTGCTTATTTTGTCGCCGATTACGACAAGTCTGTTGGCAACTACATTGCTGATGTTGATGGCAATGTTTTCCTCGATGTGTATGCCCAGATTGCGTCTATTGCTCTTGGATACAATAACCCAGCTCTGATTGAGGCTGCCAAATCTGACAGAATGATCAGTGCTTTGGTCCAAAGACCAGCCCTTGGAAACTTCCCATCTGCCGAGTTTGCAGATATTCTCAAGGACATCCTTAAGGTTGCTCCAAAGGGCCAGACCAAACTCTGGTCAGGTCTTTCTGGTGCTGATGCCAACGAGCTGGCCTTCAAGGCAGTTTTCATGAACTACCAGGCTAAGAAGCGTGGTTACAACACTAGCTTCACCACTGAGGAAGAGACCTCTGTGATGGAGAACGCCATCCCTGGATCACCAGAACTGGCAATTATGTCGTTCGAGCGTGCTTTCCACGGCCGTTTGTTTGCAACTGCTTCGGTAACCCGTTCGAAGCCAATCCACAAATTGGACATGCCTTCCTTCCACTGGCCGAAGGCGGAGTTTCCCTCTTACAAGTATCCTCTTGAGGACAACGAGGCCGCTAATAAGGCTGAGGACGAGCGTTGCTTGAAGATAGTCGAGGAACTGTACAAGACGTGGCATTGCCCGATTGCGGGTCTTATAGTTGAGCCTATCCAGTCCGAAGGCGGTGATAACCACGGTTCTACCGCGTTTTTCCAAGGCTTGCGTGACATCACATTGAAGTACAACAGTCTGCTAATCATGGATGAAGTCCAGACTGGTGTTGCTGCCACTGGTGAGATGTGGGCCCACGAGAGATTCAACCTGTCTCCTCCTGCTGATCTCGTGACTTTCTCCAAGAAGTTCCAATCCGCTGGTTACTTCTACCACGACCCAGAATTGACCCCAAATCTGCCATACCGTCAATTTAACACTTGGTGTGGTGATCCAACCAAGATGATCATTGCTGGTGCAATTGCCAAGGAGGTTGTTGAGAAGGATCTCGCCAAGAAGATCTCTGTGGTTGGTGATTATCTGTATGCTGCACTCGCCGAGCTCAGCAAGAAATATCCCACCGAAATCCTTAACTTGCGTGGCAAAGACCGTGCTTGTTTCATTGCTTGGGACTCCCCTTCTCCTGCTGCCAGGAACGCTTTCTTGGTGAACATGAAGAAGAATGGTGTTAACATTGGAGGATGCGCTGAGACCGGAATTCGTCTCCGTCCAACTTTGACCTTTGGCAAGAAACACGCCGATATTCTTATTCAGGCTATTGACAAGACTCTCGGCGAGAACTAATGAAAGTATAAAGGTATAGCTATATGTCGTAAGGGTCAAATGCGTAATCACAACGAAATGTAAGTTGTAAAATAATGTGTATGGCTCAAAGCGAGGCCGCATTGTCCTAGACACTTACGCGACTACCACATCGCAGCGGTTGTAACCAAGAACTTTCCTCAAATACCGACGATCGAATAAAAGACAAGAGCAAAACCCACATATACAATGCACGAGTACCGGGTTTTTGACTATATTGTTCTCGCAGCCTTAGTTGTTTTCTACATGTTCAGTAACTATCCTACTGACAAGGTACTAAGATCAATATTGGAGAATCTAAGTTTCGGTCAGTGCATACATTATCCCACTTTGAAGCGACCCGTTCTAACTTCAACAGCCCTCAAATTAACACTTGATGTTTCTTTTAACAGGAAGATTCGGCCTTTGAACTCTCAACCAAATTTAATCAGTCGAAACACGATTGCTGGCTACATTGCGACCCAGGTAATGCAGAACTACTCGAAGCAAGTTTCTAGTGAACACCTGTACCTCGCTCTTGTTAGTGGGAAAGTTCAGAAACGGCTTTTTGATATTCGGGCATTTCTGCAGGCCTATAGCGGAATTGAGGATAGCGATTATGCTGAGTATAGGGTAAGTAAATCTGATGTGTTTTGTTTTGACACATTGACGTGCTAACATTGGCAGGACGCCGATAACAAATTCAGCGGAATCTGGCTGAGATCTACTTGTCGCGGTCCAGAACATGACCTCGTGATATTCTATATTCCAAATCTACTGCTTCGCTGCGGAATGCCTTACTTCTACGTTGAATATTTGATTACACTTCAGTCTCTTTTGCTAGTGCAAGGGTTTCACAGTCCAGCTGTCTTTATAGTTGATGTCTCACCCGGTGTAGATATGGATGCAAACGAATTGTTCATGAGGATAATCAACGCATGGTCATTCATAGGCCAAAGTCATCCGAATGCCAAGGTTATCATTGCAGGGGACTCCTTCGGTGCTACAATAGCTCTTTCATTGATGATACTCATCGCGTGCTCCAGAAACTCGGAGACTGGCAGTTCAGAGGCTGGAAATGGAGAAACTAAAGACGGCGAAAATGCCAAGGTTACATCAACAGAAGATCCCTCCACAGAGCAGGAAAGCACTACCTCACCCCCTGCACCAGCTCCACCTGCCTTACCAAACATGCAAAGGCCATTCGGAGCATTGCTGATTTCCCCGTTGCTAGTTGGTCATCACGAACCCAAATCAGCACTGGGAGAAGGAAGACTCGCCATTTGGGCTCAGCGCTCCACAGAGTTCTTCCGGAACATTACCCTCTTTGGAAAAGACATCGAGCCAAACCCCATGAGAGTCCAAAACGTTGAAATCTGGAAGGAAGCTGCCCCAGAGAAAGGAATGATCATTAGCCATGGTGCCTCGGAGGATCTGCAACAAAACCTGGAGAATTTTACTGAAATGATTGCAGGAATCGTTCACACAAAGGTAGTAATCTCAGAATCGTCGCCTTTTCTTCCACCTTTATATTCATTCTTCACAGAGAATATTCAGGACGAGAAGGAAGACTCGGCGTTTGTGTTATCTGCGATTATCTCCAGGATGGCCTTGTGGCATACACATTTCTACCTCCATCCCGGATCGCATGAGCCGATGAATCCGTTGTCAATCGACGATTTGCATACTTAGCTACAACGAATCATGAATTGAGATTTAAGACTTACGAAATCAATAATCAGGATTCATGGACTTATCCGGAAGAGTGCCATACTTTTGTGGATTGAGACGAATTCCCCAGAAATTTGCTAGACACTACCCTCTCCTGATTGAGGGTCCAGGGATTAAACTTGTCAGATTAAGAAGACAGGCACGCATCTGATCTGCACGGTCAGGCATACACCTTGCACAATACCGGATATCAACCAGAAAGATGAATTCCTTGCTGTTATATCTGTATATCTACGTTGTGGGTGGATTGACTTTTATTCCGCTTGTATGCCTTGGAATCATCCTCATCTTGAAGCACACTTTGCCAGTCGTTCCAGATGACGTTACCGAAAGGGAAAGATTAGAGGAAGAGAAAAGGGAAAAAGATTCTGTTGCTCAAGGAAATCCCGAAGGCTATTTAAGTCTTAAGGGTGGCGAGATTCAGGATAGTACTGGGCTGGATACGTTTATGACGGGATGGTTAACCGTTACCAGAGAGTTTTACCAGTTCCCTCAGATAAATCCCAATGAGCATGGTTCTAACACTGCTGCTGGATCCACGAATGATCATTCCGAAGGCGGTGAGAGGAACGGAACGTCAATATCCTCGTTTGTGAAGATTGTCAAGGGTGAAGAGTTGCAGAACCAGCAACCGGTGCCGGTAGATAACAAAAAGTTGAAGGCAATTCGCAAGAAATGTCGTTTCTTCGCAGTACTGAAGCATGGGAACTTGTTTTTGTACAAAGATGAAGACCAAAAGAACGTCCAACAGGTCATTGTTCTTTCGCATCATGTCGTGTCGATCTGGCCATTGAATCGCAGAGATGGTCAACTTTTCACGAAGAGAAGTGCAGTGTGTCTTCTACGGTCCGATAGTCCGAGCGAAAAGGAGAATATATACAAAGCCTTGGCATCCAAGGAGATTGATCATTCCATTTTGCGTGGAGCGTTTTATCTATATGGCGATTTGAATGTGGAAAAAGAAGATTGGTATTTCGCACTGCTGCGAGCTACCACTAAAGCCACTTTGAAAACCAACAAGATAGAAGTGGACTCGTTAGAGCCAAGTCTTTATGCCAGGACTTTGCACTTCCACACGAGTGACATGAACGAACTTATCAAAACACTGAACTCCACCCCTGGACAACTGAGCACAAGATGGCTCAATGCTCTTATCGGAAGACTCTTCCTTGCTTTCCAAGGCACAGACAAGTTCCAGAAGATCATTATCGACAAAGTGATCACCAAGCTGCAAAAGATCAATAAGCCTGGGTTCTTGGATGACTTTCAAATCACAAGATTGAGCGTCGGGCATGGAGGTCCCTTTATCACGTTTCCGACTTTGGACACGCTTTCGCCAGATGGCGATCTTGTTGTCAAATTCAACATGTTGTATCAAGGAGGCCTGACTCTCGAAATTGCTACCAAGGCTTATTTGAATCTGACTAGTAGATTCAAACCGAGAGAGGTTGCACTTAACTTGAAGATTCAATTGAGGAAGATGGAGGGAGTAATGGTGTTGAAGATGAAGAAACCTCCTTCCAACAGAATTTGGTATGCATTTGAGAAGATGCCTTCTATGGATTTGGTCATTGAGCCTGTGGTGAGTTCCAGATCGCTTAACTACAACCTTGTGACGAACATCATTGAAAACAAGTTTAGAGAGGCCATTCGTGAGAGTTTAGTTATGCCCTTCATGGACGACTTTGTGTTATATGATACCCTAGGGGAAATCTTTAGAGGAGGGATTTGGGACTTAGCATCGAGACCCCAGTTTGAGGGGACAAAAACCCAAACAGAGGAAACTCCCAATGCTGAGACAGAAGACAGCACCAATGCAGCGCCTCCTCCCCTTCCCCTTCGTGACCTCGAAGAGAGTCTTGAGCCTGAATCTGATTTGAGAGAGAGTCTTCCTAGTGCCAGTCCATTGGATGATCTTGCGATTTCCACGGGTGCGAGACAAACAACAGATGACAACATGTCTATATCGTCCAGGACAAGACCTTCCTCGGCAATCTTGAAGAATTTTGGGGAGAGAGCCTCATCTGTATTCAGCAAGAAGAGCGACGACGATGCGATTCCATCCCCAGGCGTGGAGACCGATTACACTGATTTTGGTGAAGTCAACATCCCTGCTGATAATGAGGATGGTTCAGTTGATTCCGGGTCAACGTCGGCCAGCAGAACAGCTACCCGTTACTCTCAAAACATGAGCGCGTCCGTTCAAAAGCTACGGGGATGGTACACTAAGGAGAAAAAGTCTTTCCAGAGTTTCCGCGATTCAAAGGGTCAACCAAGTAGCGGTTCTTCCGAACATTACGATGAGGAAAAACCTGCTTACACTGCACCGGAAATGATCCAGTCACGCAGGCAAGTAAAGCCCAAACTTTCTGACAAAGACTTGGCTTCAAAGAATACTGATCGACTGGATGATACTGAACATGCTCAGTATAGTCATTATCAGTCAAACACTCACAATGCTTCGTTGGGTGATGGCAACTTCAGACCGGCATATGAAAAAGCACCTGATATGGTGATAGCTTCCCCCAACTCGCAAAATTCTTCCCCATCTCAGCCGCGGAACGGCGTTTCCATGTTTACGAGGAAAGATGATAGTGCATTCATACCATCGCCTTCGAGTCCATCTTCTGTTTCCGCTTTCCACCGGCCGGCTCCTCCACCACTTCCATCAAGGTTGCCAGCTGTCGAGATACCTATTGAGAAAACTTCAGAGAAAACTGCAGAGAATCCCGTTGAAAAAGCTGAGGAGACCACTTCAGATTCAGAACCAGTGCAGACTGCTGTGACTGCAGAAGCCAAAAAAATAGAGCCAATTTCCGCAAAAGTCCCTCCTCCTTTACCTTCAAGAGAGTTACCGGTCGCTACATCACCACCTCCCGACACGAGCAACCTGGAAAGAGCAAAAAGCGGTAGGATAAGACGGCAACATACTGACCGCAGCGAGGCTACAGAGAGCGAGTTTCTAAATGATTTTGGATCTACGTCTCTGGAATAGTTTGTGGCTCACCCGGTGAACCATATGCATTGTATTTTGCAGTATTACAAAAATGGCATCCAGCCTATGTACATCTGTGCAAGATTCTCCACGTTTGTAGCCTGTAATATGATAGCATCAACCTGTCCTTCAACACTGACAGGCATACCCTCCACGTCCAAGACTCCTCTGATTTTTCTTCTAATTGCCGATAGTGCGGCTTGAGAGTAGTATCGATCATTCTTCTGGACCTTCCTCTTAGTTGCTGATTTCTGCTTTTTTGGCATCCAGTCAATGATGGGGTCGTACAGGAAACTCTCCAGAACATTCATGAGAGTAGACTCATTTGTGCGTACCAGGTTATTTGTGGCTTCACATGCTTTCCTGAAGGCACCTTCGTATCCGGTAACTCCACAGGCATCAACCATGTTTTGAGTCAGTCTGAAAGGAACCCTTTCAGGTATTGCCAGACTCAACCCTTTGTCAAAGAGACAATCAAAATCAACATGCATTATCCGTCCTGTGGACTCTGATATCAAAATATTGTCTCCATGTCTGTCACCCATTCCAACCAGATAACCAACTATCGACATGACTGCTGATGACCTCACGTAGTTGTTTCTGTTGGCATACCAAGTTGAAGGATCCGGAAACTGGTCCAGAAACCACAAATGAAATATCGGAGGATACTTATCGAGCAGTCTTTCAAAATTCTTGATCTTTTCCTCGGTGGACTTTTCATCAGCCAAAGCCTTTTTGCAATATCCGATATCGCAAGGGTTTCCAGCAGAAGAGAGATAACTCAACCAGATATTCCTTAGAGTCCTACAACCATCAACCCATTCAATGATACCCATTTGCTCGTTCAAGGGAACAACAGCATACGAGGAGATTTGTAAGTTTCTCCTCTCAGATTCGGGATCCCTCTTCAGTAGTCTGTCCACAACCGTCGTGAACTCCATCAGTCTAGCATCTTTTCTCAGATCGTCATGAGGTTTACAAAGAATGCTGTAGCGTCCACCGTTGGAACCTTTCACAAACAATCTTCGAGGCCTCTGCATGGATGATAGGATCTGAACATGTCGGTCAATTGCTTGAAATCTGATTCTGGTCTCAGATGGGAAGCCTTTCTTCTGCACCGCCTGAGTGTTCGATAGAGCCAACTGGAAGTTTGACCTTAACGGTATGAACAAAGCTAGACAACTTCCGGAATGCTGAAAGTTCAGGTCATCTTTCAAGTCTGCCGAGGTCTTCCTTTTGCCTAGATCAACTCTACAGATTCCTAGTAGAGACTCAAGAAACTGGAGAGCTGAGTGAACAATGCGTCCATTGTCAAGATCCGAGCTAACAATACACGGCAGGTTCTTTACAGCATCAAAGATCTCGGTACCTTTTGCCTGCCTAGCCTCAGAAGTTGATTTGTACTGCGAGAATGCGGACCAAAGAGACGTCTCAGGATAGTTCTGGCACAAAGTTACAACGATCTTTTGGATCAGACTTGCAGTTGTGGCATCCGGATGGAGTATTCGAGATATCAGCTGGGACAGTACTGAATACCAATAGTACTTGGGCATAGCCATCAGCGAGTTGGTAAGAATCTTCGTAATCCCATTGTAGCTGGTCTCCCTGCGTGATAAAATATTTTCCTTGGAAAAGTTTTGAATCTCTGAAAGATCTCTGTAACTCTCTGAGAAATCAAGCCAAAGAGTTACCACCTTTGGCAAAGTCTCAAAAAGGTAGCGAGGACTAAACTGAATGGCTCTCATATACTGCTTGACCACATTCAGCTCACCTTCGCCATAGAAGTCCTTCTCACTCTTCTTGACTCGTGGATCTCCTTCAATTTGAGAATCCAAGATTTTGTTGTAATACCGACCGAGATGGTAATGTGCCTTTCCAGATTCCTTATCCAGAGAGCACGCTAAAAGATACTCTCGAATGATCTCAGTAGAGCTGACATTGGCGGACTGGTCTAGCCATTTAGCTAGCTTTAACTGTGCTTTTGGAGAAGGCGATTCATCAGACTCCAGGTACGTGCGCATCAATGATATTGCTTGCCTTTGCTCCCCTTGCGACCACAGAAGCTTAGCATGTTCCACATCAACATTTAATGTGTCTTCCATCATTGCCTTCATAACGGCATTCGTTGCTATGTCTAGCTTTCCAGACTTGCGAGCCAGCTTACTGTTCTCTAGCCACATGGGTCCAGACTGGGATGTTTGACCTAACGATAAAACAGAAGTCTGCAGTGACTGCATCTTGAAAGAGCTCTCAAATTCCATGGAAGTATTGCGCAATCGTGATTTGACAAGGTCGACGGCAGAGGTAAGAGACTGCTGGTTTTGATTGGAAATTGCAGATGTCAAGCAATGGAAGTCATACAACATATGAAGCAGATTCAGTATCTCCTTGTTTCTCAGAGGTGACGAGTTTTTGGTACTTCTCAAAGACACACCGAGATGGTCTCTTGCATTATCTATGTGCTTGAGGGTCTCTTCAAATTCGGAACTCGAAAGACTGATCAGACCTTTTGCAACTTCATCATAGACATAAAGCGCAAATCCACTTAACGAAGGAGGAAGGAATACTTGTTCAGTCTCAAAGACCCACCTCTTCATATTAGCCAAATCTCCAAGAAACACAGAAGCTTGCAATCCTAAAGTGGCCCATTCTTTTCTGCACCTGTCAGGAACGAGAGAGAGCTCCTGGTGTGCCACTCCGCTGTTCAGTTTCTCCAAAAGCTGGCCATGATGATTATGATCATAAAGAGCTTTGAACAGACGCGTACGAGTGCTCCAGCGCTCAGCCGAATCATATGTGCGGGACGAGGCCAAAGTCTCAAGTCCTTCTAGTTTCACTGAAAAGTCTTTGCTATACTCGAACTGAAGAAGTTTCTCACTCAAACTTTGTGTGGAGAAGGTCTTCAAGATTCCATCAAGGGCATCGAGATCTCCAATTTCTGAGTATACCTTCTGAATAGACTCAAAATAGTCCTGTTCTTTCCCAAGCTTGTTCTCTGTTCTGTAAAATTGGTCCAAATACAGGGCTGACCGCTCATACGAATTCGATTGCGAAGACTTCTTTGCTAGCATGAAAAACGACATCGACCTCAGAAACTCCTCAACCTGGAAAGCATCATTGTGAAGCGTGACGTTTTTGTCTTTGGTAGATATCTTCTTCTGTTTTCTGGAAGAGAGCCAGATTCTGAAGAAATCTAGCACAGAGAAGACGGACTCATAGCAAGACCTGAGACCATCTGCGATTGAAGAATGAGCATCTTCGCTCAATTCTGCATCCAAAATTTCCATGAACTCGCTCTTAATAATCTGTGCAGAGTCCTCACTTGCCGTGACTAATATTAAGCAAAAATACGGCAGCAGATACTGAGGAATCACAATGTCTTGACCCTTTATGGCATGCGATGCACACGCAGTGATAGCAGTAGCATTCCTGAATCTGGTACCAAGTTTTCCCCTAATGATACGATTCAGAAGTTCCATTGTGAACGTTTTGATCCAGTCTGCGTAAGGCTTATCATCTTTAAAAACAGGGAACTCTACCGTGGCAGCTGGAACAGGAAACACCTTATACTTCGAATGAAGCAACGGCACAAGCGTTGTCTGCGACGTACGATTGAATCTGCTCCATAACAATCCGTGGGAAGGTGTGTCGCTAGAAGGTTTTGACAGAACTTCGACATCCTTATTGAATAGTCCCAGAAACTTTAAATACTCCTGCATAGTGTATGCCAACAGAAGTTGCTTGGTCGACTCTTCCGAAGCCCAGTAAGCAGGAACCAGAACATTATTGATAAAGTGTGTCACGAACTTAGATGCTTCCAAACCGTCTTCAAAGCAAGTGATGGGAATCATCACATCCTCAGAACCCTTCAGTTTGTCTGTACCAAGACGACTGTTATCCAGAGATCCAATAGCCGACAACATCACAGCACATTTCTTCGGGATCTCGGGAACCGAGTCTTTGAATTTGTAGGATGCGTTCATCAAACTATCAACGAGAAGCCTGATGACCTTGCCGTACGACCTCTGATTTAGACATATGTTCTGGTGCTCCTTCTGAAATCTCTCAAAGAACCTTTCCAAGTCTTCTAGTGTTTGAAGCATTACCCACTTATTGTCTGAGTGAGACTTTCGTTCTAGCTCCACCAGCAACGTATATGCAGCAAAACCTCTATGCTGTTGCATCATCTGGGAAGAGTTCTCCAGGGAACTCAAGAGACCCTCACATCCCACAATGGAGAATATCTGACCGCAAAATGTAGCTTTCTTGAAACTCAACTTGGTTTCGGAAAACAGAAGATCGACGATCTCCTTTGCACGAGCTTGACATTCAGTATCAAAACTCGAGTATTTCTGCAATATAAACGATAGGATTGTATCACCTATGATAACCAAAGGGTCCTCGGTAAGCATCTCCACAAGCGAGTATATGCATCTGAGGACATTTGATACGAGACCCGGTTGCTCAGCACCGACTTGCAAACAACTGAGAATCTGTGGAAGGCATGATACCAAAGAATTTCCTGCCATTCTGATCAACGTATTGAGTCCTCGCAGATTCTGAACTTGGCTAATGTATGGAGCCTTACCGCGAACATTGTTAATCCACTCGGAGATGGTCTGAATAATTCGCAAAATATGAGATCCCAGAAACTCGTCTAAATCGTTAGATCCTCTGATACTAGCTTTAGTATGCATTAACCACTTCAGTTTCCGAATAACTTTATCCTCAGCCTCAGGACCACTAAAGACCAACACCTCGTAGAATACAGGAAGTATATCCAGTCTATCCATGAATATCTTCCACTTCAAGCCCTTATAAGCTGGTGATGCATTTCCAAGTATCTTCATGATTTTTGTCTCATTGATTTCATCCTCGGTGAATATGAGCAGGGCCAATATCTTCGGGAATGTGGCCTGAATAATGGAATGTCTCGACTCTCCTGTGCGTTTTGCGATATCACCAATGATATCGTCTTTATATGAACGAATCAAATAGGGAGCTGTATACTGAATTGTCCTCCTGAGGAAGTTCCTTGGATCCAATCTGATTAGATCACAGAATGAAGTCAAGAAACTTGGTCTGCTTTTGAGTTTCTGAACCACCGTAAGAGAGACATACGGTATGAACGGCTCTATCAATTGCCATGGGGTGAGCTTCTTGGAGCTTGCGGCAACTTCCAACACCTGAATGGCCTTGCTAGAGTGGAACTGATTTGCGGAGCCTATGAAGTGTATCAGGGGATTCAACATCACGAACAGTTTGTCACTTACTGGAGTCACTATGGTCAACTCACCCCAGGCAACAATTACAGCTTCAAACAGATAATCGGTGGCTTTCCCTGGTCCAATAGAATTTAACTCGGTCATTATTATGTCAACGTTGTAGTCACGGACTTGGATACTCGGGTGCAAAAGAAAGAAAGGGTATAACTTTGCTGAAGAGAGTCTGACCTCCCTCGATTTTGATCGAAAGCAAGTCTTCAAGAAATCCCAAAATCGTCTGTAAGTATCTGTGTTTGCAAATATTGGATATGAGATAAAGAGCCTTCTCATGGTAATAAGCATAGCAGTGCAGATCAGATGATCCAAAACAATCTCACTATTGGAAAAGATAACCTTCTCTAGAAACTGGGATATCAGAATAACAGCATCTGGGGGTACTCTAGAAGTATCAATGACATCTGGAAGATACATGGAATCGTTGACTACCACATCACACTTGCAGCAGATCATAGTAGATCTATCCATATCCCCAGTGAGGCAACATAGACACTTCCCTAGACAGTTGATAAGTGAAATAATATCAACTCTTGCCTGAGTAGACTGCTCAAGAAAAAACTCCCGTCCTTCAAGGGTGTCTTTCACGAAACTAGAAACATCAAGAGCTGTGAAAGAAGGCTCTAAAACGCTTGAAAAACGACCTTTAAACTGAGACTGGCGTTCCTCATATGAATGGAAACCCACAAATGTCTTTGTCTCCATGGATTGTGGATAAATGGCCTCCATTACATCAGACTGTAGGGTCTCCAAGTGGGTATTATCCAGTCTCGATTTCAAAAACGGCTTCACAAAATCAGGTGTATCATCAGATCTTCCTTGGAGCTTTAGCCTGACAGCCTCCATCATTGCCAGAATGCGGGCCAGATCAAGCTCTTGAGTGCTATCATTTGCCTTTATGAAATGGAAAGGCTTTACCTGGACCGAAGAAAGAAACACCGGAAGACACTCAAGCTCACTACAACGAAGCATGGTAAGTAATATGACCTCTGCCAATGAGGCTGCAATATTTCCATCTGTGTAGGAAACCATGGGTTTGTTCAAAAAGTGCTGGATGTTAGAACTTAGCTGACTCAACCTCTCGGTCCTCAGATAGTCCGATGCAAAAGTGTAATAGTAAAGGCTCTTGAACATCAACCCATATAACGAGCTCAGAATTCCAGAAAAGCGCTCTTCATTCCCTATGAACGAGACAAAGTTGTCAAGAAGAAACCACTGTTTTCGTATGAAACTTTCCAGAGTCAAAGAGTGCTGGAGATCCAATCCATTCAGTCCTGTGCTGCTGAAATTGAGCACAATCTGTAGAACATGAGCACAAATGCTCAATTGAGATACAAGATCAGAATTATGCCTCTGCAATTCATCGTACATTACCACCGTACTGACAGAGTTGATTTCCGAGATCAATGCGTTCAAATGCTCATCAAGATACGAGGCCAGGTACTCAGTTATGTCACTTTGGTATTTCTCGTTGCGTATTTTCCCGGAAAAAACCTCGCTTATCATTTGAATGATAGCAGAATATGCACTTTCTATTATCTCGTTTGAGTATATTGTGGAATTGAAAAACTGCACAACATTGACCAGTATACTCTGGTAGTTGAGACTTTCAACCAGTGCAGATTTGGATCGCACAGCAATGATTTGTATGGCCTTGAAGATCTTCAGAACAAACCGGTCATTCGCTGGAGTTAAAAGTTAGCAAGATTTGCCGAAAATTAAAAGTTTTCATATCAATATATTTCACTCACTTGTCTGCTGATTCGCATAAGCAGGTAGGACATTAGATAGGAGAATATCCAGCGTCACAGCATCATCAGGCTGAGGTTTGGAGATCCCCGTGGCAAGAATGGCATCCAGTACCAAGCTGATCTGAGCTTCTTTATCACTCATTCCAGTCTGGACCTCAATGGTTCTCACTGAAGATATCGTGGGGGCGTAGACGCGCGTCATTAGCGCGGAGTCTTTTTCAGTGAAACGTCAACTGTAGAGACACGACCTATCGTGAGGCAATAAGGAAGATAAGGAAGAAGTAGAAATGAATAAGTCTCAAAACATAGGAGAAATAGACGGGTTGGAATATATGTCATATTTCTATTATGTCTAAGCAGAAAACTTCAGGAATGCTATCAGAAAATCAAAGCTGTTATTGAAGAAAACCTAGCGAGATCTGGGTCTATAGAGTGTTAGGAATTTTCAATGACTCCCTCTCTCTATCAGACCATTAACGTTTAAAACATCGATTTTGTCACCTTGTCGTTGTCTCTTTTTCATGTAATAAAACTGTCGAAACTACTGAAACTGCCAATAAAGCAACCCCAAAAATTCAACCAGATATTGGCAAAGTCTAGTAAAATTTGGTATACATTCCGGATGAGCACTGTGATCTTCGTTTAATCTTTTTTCTGATTATGAGTATGAACGTGAATTTTAACTATGATATCTCGGCGATGATTACAGGAAACTTCCAACAGCAATGCCTCTGCAAATTTTTCCATCAAGTCTTCGCTGCCCCTTAAACCTCCAGACAATGCTAATGAGCTGTAGCTAATGGACGTCTGAACAGCAGTATGTGAGGTTCAGGTGTATGAGTTTCGTAATGGACCCATCCCAACGACTGCATCACTCCCAATGACCTCCATTCCTCTTCAGCCAGCAACCGCAGCGTTCCTGTCTCCTTGTTGAAATAGTCCTTTGGCAGATACTTGAGCATCTGCTTGGGGAGCATCACATGTCTATATTCGTATTCGTCAGTGCTGTAACGCACAGAGTAGTGGATCATGTCCTGAAACTCGCTTAATCTCTGTCTCTCGCTCTCCGAGAGGGGTCTGACATAAGTCGACATTGCCACACAAGTTTCAACTGGAACAAACACAAAACACTCAACACGGGGTCTGTATCGTTTGACTGTCACACCAGAGCTGACTTAGAACACTAGCTGTCTTTTGTTATTGATTCGGCGCGGTTAGGCGACCCTGACTTTTGGCTTATGTAACACATGAGCGTGTGGCACGGATTATATAATCACCGAGACGCGTGGCGAAAAGCTCAACTATTGCTCAGTCGGTTACGAGGACGTGGGGCTGGAGGATGGCGGAAACCTCGAGCGAAGGCTAAATACATCAGCCTTTAACGGTAGTCAACTGAAAAAGTCGGCAATCAAATTAAGACGCTATGCATGTCTACAATACCAGTCTCAACAAAATTCTCCCAAATTTCAGCCGCTTCTGCTCTATTCATGTGAAGATTTCCAGCCATTTCCGTTTCCTTCGTTTGCGTGTCTCCCTGGAAACGCACCCTGCACAGCATGATCGATTGATTCATCGTGTTTCAAGTTCATCCACCGGATGGATACTGATTTGAGGTAAGGTTGCAACGGGAGAAAGGTTGTTCGAATCTGGAGACTGTGTGCACTGAATTTTGAACCAAGACTAATCTCCTTAAGCTCATTTTTGCCGAATAGTATGGATCTCGAGCGCAAATCCATTGACCACCTCCATCTTCAATCATACATTTAAGCTTTCCACCGCGCAGTACTACCTCACATCAACCTACATGTCAGCTCCAAACAGCAAGACCACAAACTCCACGACGATCAGATCACCAGCACTGACAAGCAAGCATATTTCCGAGGCTCACAGTCATTCCAAGTCCCCGAGGCAAGATTCTACGATGGTGAAGATCGGTCTCAAACCGCTTCCTGTGACTTTAGCAGCTGTCAACTCGGATTCAGTTTTGGTTGAGAATTTGTGTTCCTTGGGCTACGATGAAGTTTTACTGCCAATAACCACTTTCCGTTACAGAGAGAAATGCAAGGCTTATTTCAAAGCATTCAAGGATTCAGTTTCAAAAACGCAAGCTCTGGAGGTCCCGTTTCCTCTTCTGGGAGAAGTGGAAGTGTTTGCCGGTCGTCATATCTCCAAGGTGGTTGGATTGCTATCGTCCTGGATTGAACTGGACTCTCACGATAGTGTGGTGAGTGATTTCTCGCTCCAAGTGGTGGTCAACGAAGTATCGTATGCGAGCCACATTGGGATCCAGACCTTTCTGCTGGCTCCTCCCAAGAACGTGAACAACCTAGCCATCTATGCGAACAATCTGAGTCGCTTACTGGAAACCTATCCACGCGCCCACTTTTCCTTGAGTCTTCCGATATGTGAAGAAGTCAGACAAGACACTGTTACTGGCGCACCAATTCCCGTACTGGATGCTCTTTCCACCTGGGATATGTGGAACTCCATAAGGACCCAGTGCAACTACCACGAGAACCTGTCTGTGTCTTTGGGCTCTCCAAACCACAATATTCCGCAATATGTGATCAACAGGTGGCTGCTGGAGCCGATAAGACTGTATTTGGTTTCCACAAGCCGTTTTGTGCTTAACTCGAAGAATTACCCCGTTTTGAACAAGTTCAACCAGCTGATAATATGGAAGCTCATCCAAAAGAAGACCCTCCGTCTTCCCACCTTTTTCTTGCACGGGGTTGATCGCGATCAAAATATTAACAGCCATCTAAAGGATATTACTCTGGAAAATAACAGAGGAGCTGACACTTCATTGGGTCTGGATTCGGATCACAACCCCATCACCAAGTCTGTTAGTGTTGATGCAAATGGGACGGCCATTAACTACGGCAGTTCCTCTTATCTCGATTATTTACGTCATTTGGCCACTACATCGGCCAATAATTTGCAAATCCCGCTGGTTGAAAAATTTACTATGGAGAGTCTTAGAAATGCCGTTGTGGACCTAAATTCCCCGGACCTCCTGCAGCAGCCTCTGCAGCCCTTGCAGAACAACCTCGACAATGCCACTTACCAGACGTTTGAAAAAGACCATGTCAAGTACGAGTCGTACGAGAAGGCCATGGTGGCTGCTCTGATGGATTTGGCCAACCTGAAAAAGTTCCAACACCTCAAAACTGTGCCCACTTATGGAACCACTGCATTCAACACATCTGCATTGTCTCAAGAGAGCTTTGCGAGCTCTAATCGTTCTGTTTCGCAGCTTGAGAAACTTTCTGTTTTGATTGTTGGACCTGGTCGCGGGCCTTTAATCGACAGACTGTTTGCGTCTCTCAGGTTTCTGAATCTGAACCTGGACTTCGTCAACATCGTTGCCATTGAGAAGAACTCCAACGTGATGGTCTACCTCTCTCAGTGCAACTCCACCCGGTGGCTTAACAAAGTGCGCATTTTCAACCGGGATATAAGGAAATTCGCACCTCCATCTGGAATGCGTTTCAATCTCATCATCAGCGAATTGCTGGGCAGCTTTGGCTGTAACGAGCTTTCCCCAGAATGCCTTGAGCCTGTTTCCAAGATGGAGGACCCCGGGATGTCCATTTACATTCCTCAGAGCTATTCCAGTTATATCGCACCCGCCTCTTCTCCTGCCATATACGGCAAGCTGGAAAAGCTGGATTCTCGCAAGTCTTGGAATCTTCCGTACGTTCCTCTGGTGGACTCTGCTGAGATACTAACGTCACGCTACGAGAAGCTGTGGACATTCGAGTATCCATCTCTTTCTCGGCACAGATCCGAAATTACAGTCTCCAATCGGAGATCGAACCAGGTGCTATTCAAGTGTCACCACAAAGGAACTTTGCATGGGCTTCTGGGCCACTTCGTGGCAGAGCTTTACAATGGAGTCATCATCTCCAATCTTTCCACTGGACAAGGGCCCACTCCTCCAAACCTGATCTCCTGGCTGCCAATATTTTTCCCGCTGGAGCAACCGATGTATTTGCCTGACGACCAGGAGCTATCTGTTCTAATGAAACGAGAGGTCTCCCATAATAAGGTATGGTACGAGTGGTCCGTGGAAAGTTTCATGTACCTGGTTCTTCCGATGGATAAGTCCCGGTCTGGGGACACAACCCCAAGAAAGACTACCAAGCCATTCTCCATCCCAAGACATTCTGCTAAACCATCCTTGAATACCCCAGGCCTCAAGGCCAGTCTCTTTGGCAGCGAGCAGTTCTTTGAACCAGACCAGCTTTCGGACGATGAAAGCTCTGACGACGAGGAGGCTCAGATGAGGGTTCGGACTGGTATCACAAAAACACAAAATTCATCTGGCAGGTATTTTTCCATGTTCTTTTAAATCAATTGCGCATCATCTGGTTTTTATTGGGTCATCTTTAATTTATGTATAGTCATTCTGCATTTCCAACTCATGCGAACATTTAACTGTAGATACCTTGGGTCAGTAACTGGAACTGGTCGTAAAGACGGGTGTAAATGGAGTTGATGCTCTTTCCAATCAACACATTCTCAACAAACTGATCACATTCAGGGTCTGTCAGGTGGAGTTGGAAACGTTGACGTAACTGAACACTGGTGTTCTCTCCGGCCTGAAAACAGGCCAGATTCGAGTCTTTTTGCATCAGCTCCACCATGCCCAGGATCTGCTCCGCATTCTTTCTTATTGAACGGAAACCATCCTTCATCAACTGCTTGAATCGTTTGAAGTGATGACCTTCGGTACCGCCCAGAAGATCGACATACTCGGAGGTCAGCTTGAAGGGTGCAGCCTCAAATCCAACAGATCCAGGTGAATTCGACAGCAAGAATCCAAAATCAATATGGATAATGTGGCCTTCTGAGTCCAGCATGATGTTACCATTGTGTCTGTCCTTGATTTGAAGGAGATAGCAGATGATTGAGTACGCCGCTAGAGATGATGTGAAGTTATCCTGGGCTCTTTTGTACTTGACACCTTCGGGGTCTCCAAAAGTCCTGGAGAAATGGTCCGAGAGTGTTGCTATCTTGCCGAGCTGGTTCTCGTTGTTGTCTATCATATATTGCGTCAAGGCTCGTTTGATAGAATGAATGGAGACCGCATTTGTGATAGTTTCGACAATACCAGTGCTGCTTGAAGTTACCAAAATCCGCATACGCTTCACCCACACGTTCACATTATGCGTGTACCATACTGTTGACATTGCCTGAATCAGCTGAGACGCAAAGGCCTCCTGCGTTAGATCGTCGCCGGTTTTGGCGATGATTGAACACAGCTCCCAGTTCTCTAGGTGACCATAAATACTCTCTCTTCTGATTCTTTCCTTCCTTGTGTTCCAGTCCTCACCAAGATAATAGGTGGCTTGCGAACTAGGTCCCACTCCAGCAACTTTCAAATCATTTGAGAGCTTTCTTTCACCTGCCTCCGCGTGGATATCCTCCAGGTCGCGAATACCAAAACCGTTCTGGAGTGACCTCATCGAGTTAATGATGCGCGCTTTAATAGCCGTAGACTGGTCAGGAGGGAGGTGTCCTGTGGTACTGTCCAGTTGAGTAAGCATCACGGCAGCAATTCTCATCTGTGTTGCAAGATCAGTGTCAGCATCTCCCAGATCATCTACGTTGTAATGAGACTGAAATTCGAGCTCTGAGTTGCGAATGTGTTCAGAGCCGGAGCTGCCAGGAGAACCTTCCTTCCTTGTATCAGATAGCACTGGAACATCAGAAACAGAACTAACAAATCTGTCCTTTTTGACCTTTTCATTCCCGCTGAGATTGCTCAACTTCACCACAGAGAAATCTCCGAGGTCAGTTTCGTCTACCGTGGGAACAGCCTTGTCCAGATCACCAAGCACCGCCGGTTTGGAGGGCGTCACAGATCTTTTTAGAACAGGCGGAGCCATACTTCCGAGGTCAAACTTATAGTTCGTTTCCTTCTTCGTCATTTCGGTGCTGGCGACTCCTGTCAGCTCACTGAGTAGTCTGAGATTCTCCTTTGAATCAGGACTGAAGTCTATGTCATCACTAAGATACTCCACCAGTAATAGATAGGGCACTCTCTCGGCAGAGTTCAGAACGGCCACTTCATTAACAGGAATCCTGACTATCCTGTGCATCTTCCCCTTCTTACTCTTCGGAAGCAAGAGAGGTATGTCAACCTCTGAAGGCAGGTCCTTATTCATTATTGCAAGCTCTGCCTTCAAAGCGGAAAGTCTAGCATCCTTGGGTACCTTGGATAGCTTTATGGAGATGCTTTGAAGAGCAATGGCAAACTGAGTCTCACATTTGAAGTAGTTTGATTTCAACATCTTTATCTTTTGAGGTGCAGTTAAGTTCACTTGATTGTAACCGGCGTTAGGGGAATCCAATGGGGCATCGTGATCGTAAATGCTGTCAGCATCTGAGCTGAATCTATAATCACGAGAGTTTCTTGCCGACGACGAAAATGACCCAGTTGGAGAATCGTAACCAACATCGACTGTGCTGGAGGTCGAAAGCCTTGATGATGAAACATGCAAATTTGGCATGGAGGATACAAGATCATCAATGCTGGCCCGTCCAAGACCATCATCTGGTGTTGCTTCATTATCCATGGCCGTGGTAACTTCTGTGTTTCCAGGATGCTCGGGGTATATGGCACTCACGGTGGCATACTTCCGTGTCAATCCTGGATTACTCCTACTATGAGACCTCAGGCTGTGTGTGGATATTGTCCGATTCAGACTTCCCAATCTTTCCTCAGCATATCTCTCTATTGCAGAGAACTCAAGGTCTTCCGATTTCCTGCTGTATTGCAAAGCTCTGTCACGATTAATAGTGGAAGCAGACGTCAGCGAAAGGGACTTCGAACGCGGTTGTGGAATTTCGTCGTCAAAATCAGAACTGTCCAACTCAACAAATTCCTTGTTCGCTTTGGACCTTCCCAGCAAGGCATTGCTCATCGTGTTTTTCAAAGTCAAGTTCTTGGTGAGGTCTTTCTTCAGATTCTTCACCACCTCGAACACCAAAGACTTCACTTGTTTCCCCTGGGTTTTTACCAAGGGTTCGACATACATGTTCACCTGAGGCAGAGCCACGGAAGCCATCACCGAAGAGAACAACACCAGTGAAGGAGGAACGTTCTCGTGAAACTGCTTCATGGCTTCGTGCGGAGCCACAACTCCTCTGGAAGCAGATTGCGGCGAGGTAATCGTATGCTGATTGGTTGAAAAATTGAAGAGATGGTACTGGAGCTCGTTCAGCATCCTCTGGCATATTCTGAAACTCACGTTCAATGTGGAATCAGTCCCTAGTTCGTGCAACACAGCCTGTAAGTGCCAGAACGTAAGCAGACTATAATGGGCATCTTTCTGACATAGGTTCTTGATGAGTTCTTCCAATGCCATTGAGTCAGTTTCCACAGTCA